GATGCATTGCCAGTTACACCACCTGATCCTCCAGTCCCATCTCCTTTTCCAGACCTATTTAAATATGATATAACCATCCTTGGTTACTTACAATGCCAACTGGGGACGCCTTTAATGTCCTCGTCCTGTAAACTCCTACTCATGTCACTCAGCCAGCCATTGCTCAACCCTGGCATGGTATATACATATTTAATTAAACATTCAGTTACTGGTTTTGTTGTGGATTTTAAAGAATTAAAAGCTACTTGTTGATATAAGTTTTATTGAAGAAATTTAGAATTATTGAAGCATTTTAGGTCTTAATGACCTCTCTCAGTTCTTATAATAGTTGATTATTGGTTACAAATTGACATTAAAGAAAATACTGGATAATTGACTGGGTAGAATCTATTTACAAGGGTTGCTGCAGATGGGTAGAATATACAAGATGGGTGGTGTTTAAAATACCAAAAGAGTAAACTAGTATTTAATGTTACATAAAGTAGAGGCAGGCAGAGTTCAAATCATCCTTAAGTTCATGGCTGCATTTGCAGAACTTGACCTACCTTGTATTTTCTACCCATCTGCAGCAACTGTTGTAAGTATATATATAAATATACCTCCCCTTTGCACACATGTTCAACAATCTCACGTTTGTTTCAGCATTTGGTGAGTAGTTTGCCTGATGATGCCGATTCAACATGAGTGAAAACNTTTTATTTCAGCAAGTAAGTTTTTATTTTATTTTATTTTTAATTTTAGCCCTTATATTGTGGCTAGCGATTCAGAATGTAACTGTGATATTAAAAATACATTTAGAGAAGTCTACGGTTTTTACTGGCTTATTGAATAAATGATATGAATGGACCCTAGACCATCATTGACGTGCAATTAACTGATGCCCCTGGAAGCCGGCTTCTTACATAAACACAGCTTCCCTATCATCAAATGTCATGGCATGCCACTGATAAATAGACAAATAAACTATCAACAATATAATTCATTCAAAATTTTCATAACTATAGAACAATATTAAGACATCTGTATGCAAACCAAGAATGCAAGTAATTAAGTTTGTAAATAAATATTTTGATGAAAATTTTTGGTAGCATGAATATATTTATATTCAATTACACTTTTATTCATTGAATTAATTTATTTTCTTACTCCTTCTCAATACATTAATTCAGAAGAAACAAGAAAAGAAATATAACAAACTAAATAAAACTGTATTTTCTATAATAAAGAATAACATAGATAGAATTTAAATAACACAAAACTAAAATATTGTTTTTAAACCCATTGCAACATCACAAAAAAATAATAATTCCTCATAACAGTGATTTTTAAAACTTGAAGTCTTTACTATTATTACAATAATAAACACACAAACTATTTTTTTCAGACCATATTTAATTTTCTGTGCCAAATGTTTTAAATTATTTTAGTTTATCTTCAGAGTTAACAACAAATCTATTAGAGAACACTTGAGAACAAAATATCATTAAAAGTTTCAAACCAAACATTATGATGTCAGATTCAAACAAACATTTTCTTTGAATAAGATGTTAAATGAATAAGAATGAAGTTTCATTCTTACTTTCTGTGATTATATTTTTTTGTAAACCCTAAGAATAAATCAAAATAGATTCAAAATTATTTGATATAGAAATTTAAATATGCTTCATAAAGAGCTGATTAAACTTTTTATAATAGGAATGTTGAGTCTCTATCAAAGTGATCTCATCAAATCACTTGAGTTTCAAGCTCCCAAACTCTAATTTGTATGAAAAATGCACCCAAGATACAAGAGTTTTTTTTTATTTAAAAAAAGGCTAAGAAAATCACCCTGTGTCTTATATGTAAAGTTGTGACTGCCTACAGGACAACAAATTCCTCAAACAACCTTCAGTAGACTATAGGTAACCTCTATCTAGCCCAACTCTTGAATAGAAATGTTATTGCTTAATTAAACATATTATTATTTGTTTTTTTGTATAAAAGTTGCTTTTGCATGCATTTACGTAGAATATTTTAATGGTAAATGATTTCTCTTAAACTCCTGTTTTTTACTGATAAATAAACCTGTGTTTTAAATTAAATTCCTGTGTGTATTCTAATTTTACTTTTTTTTAAAAATTAAAATATGGTAAAAAAAAAAAAAAAATTAAAAAGTACCCAGTGCCAGGATGCATAAATATATTAAATACTTTTTCCTAAATATTTTACTTCTAAAATAGAGGTACATCTTATATTTTAATTTTATATTTTAGAAGATTGATTTTCACAAAAGTAAGAGATGTAATAAGTTAATTTTATTTAGATTAAGTTTGTTATAGTTTGTTAAAAATAATTATTTTAAATTTATCATGATTTAGAAACCTATTGTAGACAGAATGAGGAATTACTTTATTATTATTATTAAGTATAGCAGAAATTATTTTTTATAATATCAATTTTTGAAGTTTTAAATTACTGTTATAGCTAAACTAATATTTTAGGAAAATTATTGTTCTACATATACTGTAAGTTAATAAATAGCAGTGGCGTGCCATTATTGGAAGTGGTGAATGCGCCGCTTCTCTTGTATTTTCTAAAAAATAAATACATATTAATTTTAATTATATGAAAATAATCACACAATATTTTATTATAACCGCATTATGTATCTTATTACAAATTTCTATACTACACATGAAAAAAAAGATAAGATTGCTACTGTATATTCAAATATTAGTGGCAAAGTGGAAGCACTGTATTGTCATCATCCAAAAAGCCAGATTCGCGCATGCGCTTTACAGAGCACCAACCTCACCCTGTTTAGCCAGTGGAAGCCTAGGACCTTGGGTGGATGCTACACGTATACCGCATCCAATTCTATCCAGGACCGGTTCTGGGCTGTTAGCCACCTGCCTGCTAGATATTTCGATTATGTGAATAACGAGTAGATTTATAACTTAACCCAACCGATAAGAATTTACTGATATGTTTTTATGATAGTTCTGTATAGTTGATAGGAGTTTTAAAAAAAATTCATTAAAATATTTGATATTTTTATTCCGCTCTCCGATTTTATATTACTCACGGATTTCAATGTTAAACCAATGATATTACAATTTGGTATATCCCCCATTTTTAAAGGGATGTAGAAAAAAACATGTACAATTCTTGTATAATGTTAAAAAATTAACTGTTACTTTAACAGCATCATTTACAACTGAATTTAATGAATGAGAGAGATGCACAAGGTACAGAAAAAGCTCTAGAATTTATTTTCCTTAAATTTACGATTTATATATCCATTTGTCATAAAAATTTGTCTTTCCACTTTTTTCCCAAGACTACAAATATTTGAGTACAAAGTAACTGGTTTCAAGTTATTTCTACTTAAGTAGTAGTTAAATAATTAAGTGATTAGGGAATTGGGGACATAAACAAAACCCTGATGAAAGAGCCGGAATTTTACTTAAACAAAAGCTTAACCGAACCATCTCTAGCCAAGTACAGTGGAGACTGATTTCTTTGTATTATTAATATAATAAAGACAGAAATTTTTTCCAGTTCAATGAGAGTGACCAAAAAGTTGTAAATTTTGGAAATTTCTGAGGACACTTGGTCCTAAAATGAATTAGTTAGAAAACAAATGACTATTAAGTTTAACATATTTAGATTTTTNAAATTTTTCCAGTTCAATGAGAGTGACCAAAAAGTTGTAAATTTTGGAAATTTCTGAGGACACTTGGTCCTAAAATGAATTAGTTAGAAAACAAATGACTATTAAGTTTAACATATTTAGATTTTTACAGCTATGGTGAGAAACGTTTAAAATCTACATCAGCCCCGTCGGGTCCTTTGAGATATACTAGTGATGTGACAAAAGAGGTATTTGACATTGACCAGTATCGGCACCCTCAGGATTTGACAGCCTGCATGCATGCATACACTGCAGGACCATCTGATCCCAATCATTAGCCACTGGTAGAGAGCCATTTGACTAAGTGGCTAAGATTTAAACAATAAAGAATATTTTATGTTATTTTTATGTATGTTTCTTTATAAAGCTATATTTAATTATAATTTTCTTTAAAAGTATATTCATACAATTGAAGAATATTTTGTACCAGGTATGTACATCCACCACACATTTTTATTTCATCAAGTAAGTTTTTATTTTATTTTATTTTTAATTTTAGCCCTTATATTGTGGCTAGCGATTCAGAATGTAACTGTGATATTAAAAATACATTTAGAGAAGTCTACGGTTTTTACTGGCTTATTGAATAAATGATATGAATGGACCCTAGACCATCATTGACGTGCAATTAACTGATGCCCCTGGAAGCCGGCTTCTTACATAAACACAGCTTCCCTATCATCAAATGTCATGGCATGCCACTGATAAATAGACAAATAAACTATCAACAATATAATTCATTCAAAATTTTCATAACTATAGAACAATATTAAGACATCTGTATGCAAACCAAGAATGCAAGTAATTAAGTTTGTAAATAAATATTTTGATGAAAATTTTTGGTAGCATGAATATATTTATATTCAATTACACTTTTATTCATTGAATTAATTTATTTTCTTACTCCTTCTCAATACATTAATTCAGAAGAAACAAGAAAAGAAATATAACAAACTAAATAAAACTGTATTTTCTATAATAAAGAATAACATAGATAGAATTTAAATAACACAAAACTAAAATATTGTTTTTAAACCCATTGCAACATCACAAAAAAATAATAATTATATTATGGTAAAATTACAAATTTAACAATAATATACATTAAATGGTTAGTCTTCAATAAAATAACAGTTAATAGTAGTTGGTTATTAGTTAATATGGTTAACAGTAGTTAAATAATTTCTATGATATTTGACCACAGTTAAAATAAATAAGTTTTAAGTTCCTCAAAAACAAACTTTTGTTACATGTTTGCAAGACTTATCCCTTTGTTAGTTCAAAAAAAAAAAAAAAAGACTGAAATAGGTATATTAAAAATGTTTACCTTCACTGAATTTTTCAGTTTCAGTCAATTTTCTAACCCCTGACTCATTTAATGAATCATTAGGTTTAGTTACTCTTCTGGTATAATGATCCAACATTCTACTTGCAGCTGAAAGTTAACAATTTTCATTAAAATTTATATTGAAGATCTGATACTAGAAGTATGGTGATAACACAATTAAAATCCTAAAACTCCATACTTTCAACAAATAAGTTGTTTTCAATCCATTACACTATTTTATTATTTTGACAGTATGTGATCTTCATATGAAAATAATGATCAATAACAATATTATTGTTTACTTGGAAAATAATAATAATCAAAAATAAACTAGGAATTATATATTAGCATAAAACAGTTGATTTTCATAACAAAATACCCCTTAAACCATAACTGTTGTTTCCATTAACTTGTTTTGTCAGGTTTCCATTAACTGTTTTGTCAGGTTGAATACAATTCATTAAAGAGATATACATATTTTTTTAAAAATGTTCTGACAGAGTAGAATTATTATTCTCTTTTTATATTTATGAGCTGTTGGTTCATATCATAAATAAACTCATACTTCCTCTCAAAATATAGTAGACTACAGATAACTCAAGGTAATATTAATATCAACTTCAAACAGTTTACATGCTTTTAAAGACTTCTTCCAATCTACTAATTGAAAAACTGAATCAAAGCTATGTAACATTACATAACTGAATAATGTAAAAAAGTAAAGAAGCATTCTATATATAATTACATGTTTACATTGTCTAAAAAATTAAAAAATATTTTTTAGAAAATGTGATGATAATATGAATAAAGATAATGAAATAATGTTATAAATGGTGAGCAATTATTTATTGTGACATCACACAATGCCTGGCTGCAATTTTTAATCATATTTTTAATTTATTTAACTTAAAATATATGCTCTCCACCTCAAATTAGTAGTGGCTTGCCCCCTGTACATAATGCTTTTCCTTTTACAAGAGAGTCGTGCCGGTCATCTAACTAATAATTCAAGGGAAAATTTTTGAATTGAAATAACATGACTTCTGATTTGCACTGAAGTTTTTATATAGTTAATCAGGGCCTCCTGCCCCTAAGGTTTCCTTATCTAGTCTTGTCTTTCATCTATCTAACTCTGTTCGTGAGATTAAGAAAAAACAGACAGATGGACGACAGTGGAAATTTATAGGTCTACAATTTTTTCAAACTGCTGCCCAATAAAGATATTGAAATAACTTATTATTTTTCTAAAATGTTTAAACTGACATTAGGCTTTCTCTGTAAATTATCTGTTCAGAAAGTAAGTTCATTTTTTTTACCACTAGATAGATATTTCATATTTTTCCCACCATTTTCATTCTAAACCATATTATCATTATATATTTTGACAGCTAGCATTCTAAGGCTTATTTGTAAAAAATTTTGTTTGATTTTGTGCAATTGTTTATTTTTTGTGTCCCTTCAAATATGGAAGATCGAAAGCAGCATTTTTGGCATATTTTGCTCTTTACCGAAAAGGTAAGAATGCTGTTCAAGTGAGAAAAAAATTGTGTGATGTGTATGGAGATGTATTGACAGAACGACAGTGCCAAAACTGGTTTACAAAATTTCGTTCTGGCAATTTCAATATTGAAGATGCACCACGTTCTGGATGGCCAATTGAAGCCAATGAAAAAATAAAGGTACTGATTGAAGCAAGCTGCCGAATAACAACACGTGAAATCACTAAAAGATTAAATTTGTCAAATTGAACTGTTTATAATTACTTGAAACAAATTGGTTTCGTTTCAAAGCTTGATATATGGGTTCCATATGTTCTTAAAGAGAAATGCTCTCTTTGGTGGAATTTTAAAGAAATTTGTTTTTTGGAGCTTTTACCAGACAATTGATCCAAAAGTATACTGCCATCAAGTAAACAAATTGAGTAATATCATCAAACAGAAAAGGCAACTAGAATTGATAAAAAAAACAGGTGTAGTGTTTTACCACAATAATGCCAAATTTCACACAAGTTTGGTAACTAGTCAGAAACTGTTATAACTTAGATGGGACCTGCTATCACACCAACCATATTTGCCAGATTGAGCACACTCAGATTATTACTTGTTCTGCTCTATACAAACTTTTTTAACTGTAAGACATTTACTTGAAATGACTATGTCAAAAATCACTTGGATCAGTTTTTTGTAAGCAATGATCAACCTTTTATGAATGTGAAATCATGCTACTACTAGAAATGATGACAACAGGCATTTGACAAAAATGGTCGATATATAATTCAATAAAATATTTATTTATTATAAAAATATTGTCTTTTTTTTCCACGGGGGAAAAAAACAAAATTACTTTCTGAACAATCCAATATATTAAATATAATAATTAATTAATTAATTAAACTTCAAAACCTAATAATCTTTGATAATTCCCACTTTTTTATTTTTAATTATTATTTTATGATAAAATGATATACCATATTTTTTCAAATATAAGTCAATTGTTTTTCTGAATTTTAGGTTTAAAAATACATTCTCAATCTATAAGTGAATTTGCCTTAAATATTAATGTGAAAAAAAAATTAGTCTGTTCACCTTGTTCAATATACCTAATCATGTTTCATTTTTTTTTCATAAAATAAATTAGTGTGATATTCTAAGCAAATAAAATTATTTTTTATAATGTAAGATTATAATTAAGCCACAACATGATATTCTATGCTCTATATTTCACTCTTGTAAGGTGTTGCAAGAAATCCTTCATTATAACATTTATTTCTTAATGAATAGAAATGAATTGTTGAATGAAAGTTTGACCTGAACAAAAAGTAAATATCCCACTGTCCTCACAGAAGCTTTGATGCAAAATTCAAGCTTATGTGCATAAAATATGCTGATAAAAACAACAATAGCATGGCTATCTGCATGCTAAACATATCTGAGAAAAACATATGTAATTAAAGAAAAATGAAGTTCTCACTGGGACAGTTTCATCAAATATGGAAATAGCTTTGTGGGCCTAAATCTAGTTGACCAATGGTTGGTAGAATTTGTGATATGTTCATAAATAAGATTCATATGAAGTATTATCTAGATCAATTTACAGTATATTAAGGATACCGTATATTTGTTTCTGGAAAAAAAACAAAAAAATTGGGGGTTGACCTATATATGGATTGACACATTTTCAGATAAATAAACATAATAACTACATTTAAATTAATTAAAATATCTATAACCATGAGGCAGATAATAGTAAGGGCTTATCATACCAATGATAATGGGCACAAACACTCAAGCATCAAAGTAAAAACAAAATTTAATTATACTTAGGGCTAAAAGTATTTTCTGTAATAATAATAATAATAATAATAATTATATTTTTCTGTAATATAAGATAAATATTTCTTTACAAATTATTTATCTTATATATTTATATTAATATTATAATTGATTATAGATATAAAACAATTGATACTACAAAATAAAACCATAAATTAAAATCAATTATAATTTATAAATCAATAAATATCAAACATTATATAAATTAGCTTAATGTTTTGTATGATGGTTTTTAATTTAACTTAATAGGACATAGCTTTTTAGTTCAAGTAATTTTTTAAAGCAATTATATCTATAAATTATATTATAGCAGTGTTATAAACTATGAAAGAAACTTCAATATTTCTTTCATTTGAAATAAAACATTCAATTTGAACCCCTTCTGATTGAACAGATGAAATAAAATAAATAAATAATGTTCATACAGATAATAGTAAAACTAAGAAGTTTTATATAGAACAGACTGAAAAATTTTATATATTAGATATTAAACTTTATAAAAATATTTTTTCCAAGGAATATATTCATAATTAAATCATTATAATATATTCATAATTAAATCATTAATTAAATAAATTAAAATATTTAAGTAAAAATGAAAGATATTTTAACATTAAATGCATTATTATTACAAAAAAAATTTATACTTCATAAATTATTGTTTGATTTTAAAACATATTTTCAACATTAATCAGTCCTAAAAATTGATTTGTAAACTTTTATTTTTTAATATTTAAATTTAAATAGTTAGTGAACAAACTGAATATTCTCTAAAGCAATCAGCTTTCAGGCTTCCATTTATTATTAACACCTTTAAGTGTAGATAGAAGCAAGTATCAGATCAGATTGGATCAGTTGAAAAATTATCAGTGTTGGTTGTATTGGCAAAATTCAGTATCACATCATCTCTACTTATAATTAGAGTTGTAATCTTCTGGTCAATTACCACTTCACCAAAATATACACCAATAAAAGTTTTAATATATTTAGGACAACAGATCAATAAGAATCGTATAATGATAACAAATGGCTAATATTTATGCTAACTTTTAAAATAAAAATTTAAAATTTGATTCTATTATATATGTTCTATTATATCTATTATACTGTAAATACTCTTCTAATTGATATCAATATTGGTCTTTTCATGTAAAAATATTAATTGAAGCAATTCCAATATACCAATGAAATCAATATAATAAATACTTTAAAAAACTTCATTTCATTTATTTTATAATAAATACTTTCAATTCAAAAACATTAAATCTTAAAATTTACAGAAAAACAGTCTTTAAAAGTATTATTAGGCAATTTAAATGTAAAATTTTTCTGGTTGATACAAGCATATAGTTAATTAGATTACAAATATAACTATGTTTTTTTAACAAAACCTATGAAACATTGTCACAATTCTATTCTCAACAATCATTATACATAAACTTTATAAAAAAAATTCTTTTTCAGTTTTAAAAATATGACATAATTTACATCAAATTATCTTAAAATAAATATGCTTTTAAGTATGTTGATCGTAAATAACAATGTAAAAATATTTGTTCAGGCAAAATGATTGATTCTATGTTATCATAATGATAATTATAATTCTGAATCTTCTCAAATAATAAAATACTAATATGCAAATAATGATGTAGATTTACTGAAATCTTGGACAGAATTTCTGTAGTAATTTTTGAAAAGCATGTAGTTGTTTGATCATATAAAAACAGTTTTTATGAGAAGGCAATCATCATGATATATAGAATTAATAAATTAAAATGCTAAGCAAACTGAAAGTATTATCAACAAATAAAAAGATTAAGGTTTGAAAACTATATATATATAGATATTAAAATTAGAGATGGGCAAATAATAGCTATGAATACTCAAATACTAAAAAGTTTTTGATATTTGAAGTATCAAATATTACATTATAAAAAAATATTAATTTGAATATTTCAAATACCTAAAATATCATGTAGTTACAGTCAGATACAGTGGAAAATCCAGAAATACCAAAGAGGAACTAACTCAAAAATTTAAAACATTTGAACAATTAGTAAGACCTTTTATGAACTGCACAATGATTATGTTTTGAATACTTTGATAAACAGTCTTTACCATCATAAATATTTTTTAAAATGTTTTGAAATTCAAACAAATAAATTTTAGTTGTGTGTCAAAGGTATTCTCTTGTATCTACCACAGTATACAGACTCTTCAGTACCCATGGTTTAATTTGTGACAAGAAAAGAAGCAGACTAAATCCCAAATGTTTTTGAATTTTTGTTTTCAGTTATTTGTTATTGCAGTTGAGATAAGAGTACTGAAAATAAAAATCTACTTTAAAACTCAGTTAAAATTAAAAGTTTGAAGTTTCATTTCTTAAAATAGAGTAAATCGTTTTTCTTTTTACTTTTTGTTTTACTTTATTAATATATTGAAATAAATAAAACAAGTTATGTAAGGTAATTAAATTCACTAAATATTCAGAGTATTCAAGTACTCCAAATAGTTGATTTGATTAATATTCAAAGTTAAGAAAAATGATATTTGCTCATCTCTAATTAAAATAAATAATATAATGTTAACTCTACTTGTATCAGACTAAATTAATATTGGTATCTAATAGTTCATTTTATTTTTATTCATATTCATTATCATCATTAAATTTTTTTTCTATTTTTATTAATTATATGACAATTATAATTTTATAAATTAAAAAATTTGCAATGAACAAATAAGAAGCACTAAATATATTACTTTGTGAATTCTCTTACAACTAAAATATAAAATATAGTAAAATAAAATTTTTCTATGATTTTAAAGAAAAACAGTCAAAAAATAAAATTTATAAACTTAATATTTTTCCATATGTTTAACCTTTTTTTATTACAGTATTAGAGTTAAATTCATATAGAATAAAATCACTAAATCTTGAGAAGTATTATCATATTACAGTAGAGCATCGATTATCCGAATCAATTGGGGACTGGGGTTGTTCAGGAAATCGATTTTTCAGATAATCGATTATGTATGAGAAAATATATTAACCTATCCCATGTTGAAATTCTGGCACGTCCTTAAGTATCCTCACATGCTGCCAGCTAAAACATGCACACAAACAAAAATAATATTGGAGCAGCCCAAGACATAGCCAAAGATTGCAGCACCACAGCACTAGCAGAAATTTAAATTTGCTGATTGGAAAGCTTTCGATTAATTGACATTTCAGTTGATTAACATTTGGATAATTGATGCTCTACTGTATTTAGATTAATTTATAATCTACTCAAACTATTTTTTATCTGACCCGGGGCATGGCTTGAATCCACAGCCTCTGCTTGCCGTGCGATGCGCTTGCCAGTTGTGCCACCTGGACCCTGAGCAAGCCATCGCTTCCAGATGTATTTAAATTTGGATATAACCTTAGTTTCTATTTTTATGTTTTGTTCTCCTTTCATATTATTGATTATTAACTATATTTGTACAGACTGAAATATTAAATATAATGTTAAAAATGTGAAGCATAAACTAACAATTCCTAAATAAATCTAATAAAAATTATACCAGGAAAACTATTTCAAAATAGCTCAGACACTTTAAATGATTTTTGCTTTTAATCTATTCCCTTAAATTTGACATTAAAAAAACTGACAATAGACAGTTTAAAACAATTTAAAATACTTACGTGTAGACTTTCTTAAGGGGCTTGATGTAGCTTGATTATTCTCTACAATAATCATTTTTTCTTTAACAGCCTAATATATACATATATATATATTTAAGATTTATTATTCATAATTTAATAACAAGAGAAATTCAAATACTTATTTGTAAATTTGAAATAAGTATAGAGAATAATTTTCTGTTAAAATTAATTTTTTATTTGATTTTAAAAGTTAAAAGTATAGATTAAATTAAAACATTTTAAACCTTCAACAAAGTCTATTGATATCTTCACTAAATCTGATTCATTGAAACCTCATGATAGAAGTTAATTTTTTAAGTATAAAAATTTTAAATGCAACAAACTTTTTAAAATAAATCTTAATAATTTAGTTCTGAATATGAAACAAAGAAATCTTACTAAAAGATAATTTTTTAAATACAACTTCAAAAAATATTCTTTCAATGCTATCAAAATACAGTATTAATTTTTATCATATGAGGGTCATTCTAAAAGAAAAGAATGTTTTGATCTGATGAGCCACACAGTTCTCCCACCACCCCCATTACAGTGTCATGGACTTTCCCATTTTTTCTCGCCAGTCTGATGCTAACAGTGAGCTGCAACAATCATTTACTGTTTGTAGTGTGACTTTGAAATGTGTGACAAAATTAAAGATTCCGCCAAGTGTGAGGTTCATAGTGTAATGCACTTTTTCAATGCGAAAAAAGTCCACCCTATCAAAATTCATAGACAGATAACCAAGGTTTATGGTAATGTGATGAATGAAGCTTCAGTTCGAAACAAACAGCAGGAATTTTTGTCCAGAAAAATTGTGCTTATTCAGGATAATGTATGTCTGCATGCTGCTACGTTGAAGAAGAACTTGTTTCAGCAGTTTAAGTGGGAAGTTTTTGAACATCCTCCTTATAGCCCAGACTTGGCTCCAAGTGATTACCATCTTTTCCCAAAATTGAAGGATTTTTTAGCCGGGAATCACTATGGAAGTGACAACAAACTGAAAGAGGTTGTTAATGACTGGTTCAAGAACTTGGTGGTAACTGAGTGTGCAGAAGGCATAGAAAAGCTGATTATACACTATGACAAATGTTTAAATTTGTATGGTGACTATGTAGAAATATAGCTAAGGAATCATATGTGTTGTAAAATAAGTTTTGTTTCATTATCTTAAATAAAAATATCTAGAGAAACAAATGTTCTTTACTTTTAGAATGACCTTCGTACATTAAAAGTGTTTGTAAAAGTCAACAAAATGCTAGGTAGAATCACAATTAAAATATCACTGATATAGATAATCTTTCTTTATAAAAAATTTCTAGATGAATGATATTTAATTATTCACTAATTCTTTAATTTGTCTTTACTTCTTAAAGCATAATTATTATTTTATTAAGAGAGATTATTGTGTTTCTAAGAATTTATTACTCACCTGATTATGAGCAATTTTTGCATGTCTCAATATTGCAATAACATCACCTAATGTTCTTATCCCCATATCAAAAAGATATTCTTTAGACAAATCAAGCAGCATGTCCATTTGAATTCGATGATCCGTAAAAATAATTGCGTAATTTGCAGATACATTAGGTGGTAAGCCAGAATCGATAAAAAATTTTATCCATTTTGAAGTTGCTAAAAAAAATTATATTTTAATTGTTTAGTAATACTTGTACTTAGATGTTAAAATGTAGTGAAAAGATCATATATCATTTATCAATACATATATTAATAATAATATTACAGGACTCAAAATTTTTGGTTGTCAGATTATCATTAATTACCAGAAAATTTTGTCTGGAAACTAAAAAGAAGTTTTAAAAAAAAATGTATTTACTACCAAATTATTATAAGCATTTAGCACATATAATCATGGTGATTACATAATTAACATAAGAATCTCATTTGTTGCAATCAATTACATAGATGTAGGGTTTGGCAAAACTCTGCATTGTGAGGCTGGGTGCAAGTTGAATCTAGATAGAATTTGTATTTAAATACTGTATATCAATTCCCATTTATTAAACTTTGATATATTTGAACAATGAAAAATCTTGATATATTGATACTTCTGGTCATTTGAATGCCTTTTCCCAACTTATCACAATGATCAAAGTGACTTAAGTTTTTTCATTTCATTTTGTTCCTGTGTACTAATTCCAATATGCATTTCAAATGTATTACTCACCCCTCCTCAGTAAGTTATGTTATTATTAAGAATGCAATTATCAACTTAAAATTTATCTTTTCACTTCTATTCCATTTTTCAAATATCAGTATGTAATCAGTTCAAATGCCATTATTTTCTAGGAATTATCACATCCACAGACTCAAAAAATACAACTTTATTTTACCCAATTGGGTAAAATAAAGTTGTTGATTGGTCTGTGGATGTGATAATTTCTAGAAAATAATGGTATTTGAACTAGTTACATATTGATATTGATATAATGATATCAACTTAAAAGTTTAATAAAAATTTCTCATCATTCAACTGGTTACTGAGTTAAATTGAAAAAACAATCACTTCAAGTCATTTGTGGTTTTTGTGATAAGTTTGAGAAAAGACATTATAATAGCTGGAAGTATATCAAGGTTATTAAAACCAAATAAGAAGAAAATTATACTGTAACTAGAAATTCCCCAGTCAAGCATGACAGAATACACTTTATGAGAAAGTAGACATTGAAGAATTGAGAAGAGTAGAAATTTCAAGAAATTCAAAAGTTGTTAATATGTCTATAAATGAAGTAGTTTATACTATCTGTTGTGACATAAAGAGTAACAAAATAAAATTTTACCTAAAGCAGACAAAAAAAAAAAAAAAAAAAAAAAAAAAAAAAAAAAAAAAAAAAAAAAAAAAAAAAAAAAAAAAAAAAAAAAAAAAAAAAAAAAAAAANAAAAAAAAAAAAAAAAAAAAAAAAAAAAAAAAAAAAAAAAAAAAAAAAAAAAAAAAAAAAAAAAAAAAAAAAAAAAAAAAAAAAAAGAGTTATAGAGAATTCACTTACACACACAAACAGATTTAGGTCTTTAATATTAAAATCTTTTTAAAGATTTCCTTGCTGTCTTCCTTTAGTATCTTTAATAACAGACAGCTTTATATTGTTTTGATGATTGACGTGATTTCCTGCAACCCTTGATTAAGCCAGTTCTTAATTCCACATTGATAAAACAAAGATGAATTGTATGTACAATAAGTTAGATGAGCAAAACACTTTCTAAATAATGGGTGCATTACATTGTTACTTTCAATAGGATAATATAATCACTATAGAAAGATTTTTAAAAAATTTGTTGTAGAAGTGACATGATGATGCTATCTTTTTTTAAAGTTTAAATTTAATGAAGTATGTTTAAAATACACCATTTGCCAAAATATTTAAAAATGCAACTTAACGGAAATTTCCTTGTTGAGTATGAACATCACATGGTCACTGACATTACTGCAATGTAAGTGCAATCACCGATCTGAAATCGATAAAATGTTTATTCTATAGCTAATATTTCTGCAAAATAAGTAGTGTATACTTTCCACTGGAACATAAAATGAATATTGTGGTCACCGAATGGTGAGTTGTTAAAGCAAAAAGGGAATACGAATAAAACAATGAAAAAAAAACCTTTATTTTTCACCGGTTGGTTACTCCTTTTAAATTTAAGTTCTACAGGATCTTTCGATTCTGACACTCCTTTAGGTACTGGGCTTACCCGTAGGAACAAAGAATCCCACACGCAGGTAGGAATGTTGAGACAAAACCCGCGACAAAGTCGAGATCCAACTGACAATTTCGATCGTGACAAAATACATATATATCTAAGACTTAAAACTAATTATCAAGAATAAAACAGAAAGGGACAGAATTTAAGATGTATAGATTGAAAGAGGAATGAGAGATGGGTACCCAATGGTGGTCGACGCTCTAGTTTTAATGAAGATGGCCAATACGTACTCTTCTCGGTTCACTGGGGGGGAACAGGTGAAAAATGTCCTCTACACTGAAGAAGGAATCTTTTTTCACAAATCTCGTGCATGCTTTTATGCCAAAGTTCTGTGGGTCTGTCCAGGTCTATATCTCTGACTGCTGCTAAAACAGTCCAGAGATCTCTCATACACGTCCTTCCTCTCCGAAGTCCGGGCTAGCAGTGTCCGTTCCAGCATTGCCAGATGTTTTTTGCCCTTGTAGCCAAATAATTTTTAAAAGTAGCCGTTGGCTACTTTTGTACCAGGTGTTGTTCTACCTAGTACTTTTGTACTAATCTAGTACCTTTTTACTTGTCCCAGTACGAAGATACCCAACACCATTTTCCTAGTACCATTCATGAAATCCTAATATCTTTCCTTTCGAAATATTCATTTTTATTCTATATTTCTGTATTTTTTTACTTTACTTTGACAGTAAATAGATGTTTTTATTGCTTCCTCATTCAAATGCAGCAGTTGAACGTATTTTTTTGCAATTAAGTTTAATGAAAACTAAACTACAAAATCAAGTTCTTACAGCGATAAATGTTAAACTTGGAAATCATCATCTGCTTCAACCATACAAAAACATTCTAGTGAAAAAGATTCTGATGATGATGATTTTACCAGTGATTTTTCAACGTAATAATTTCAAATTTTAGTACTTCATGTTCATTTTGCTCATTTGATTGTTGTTGAGGAATAATAGCATTCTTGTAATATATGAATTTTGTATGTTACATGTAACACTATATAAGACATTTACAAGAAGCTGACATTGGCAAACAGTTGCAATTAGCGTAACGTTATTTGTTACTAATTTTATCAAAAACAATTAAAATTTATAAAAATTTCGCCCTAGTAACCATGTTTGGTACCATTCCGTATAGCATAGCATTTACCATTAGTCATTTTTGTTTATAGATGCATTTTCTTTTCTTATTTCTTTCTTTCTAGGATATCATTTATCTGGAATTTATATTAAATTTTCTTTAAAAAATAAGCTTTTATAAACTAAAAAGTCTCCTGTCAAGCATGACTGAATACTTACTGGAGCTATCTTTTTAAAAAGTTTAAATTTAATTAAGTAAATTTAAAATTACACCATTTGCCAAAATATTTAAAAATGCAACTTAATGAGGAAAATTTCCCCAAAGTATTCTCGGTCCTTTTGGAAAGAATGGCTTCAAGAAAAAAATCTTAAAGGTAAGCACGTTTAAGATTTTTTTCTTGAAGCCATTCTTTCTGAAAGGACCGAGAATAATTTGTCCATTTTCCCATTTTAATACCAAAAATAAATAAATTATAAAACTTATATAAATTATACTTTGTTTAAAAACAAAACGAGTAGACAGCACAACAAGTATTACCATTCTGTGTGCAAAACAAAGGATGGAATAATTTGTGTAATCAGCCCAAAATGTAGCCAAGTCAAATTTTTGTAGCCCAAAAAGTAGCCAGGGCGCCAAATGCTTTTTTTTAACGCCAAACTGAAAAATAAGTAACCCAATTTGGCGCAAAGTAGCCAAATCTGGCAACGCTGGTCCGTTCCCCCTCATTCTCACCCTCAGGGCTCCCCTTTCCCCTTTGTTTCCCAAGTAGGTCAATTCACTCCATGTGGTTAGAAGTTTCTAGAATGTTCCATAGAACAAAGGACAAAGAGGGAAGAAAGGAGATAGGAAAATATCTACATATTTTCGTTTTATACAACAGAACAATATGGTGGTACACCACAATATAACCAAAATTTCATCTGGATTGGACAAAAATTGCAGGAGTTATAAGGAATTCACACATGCACACAGATGACAGCTTTTATATTAGTAATAAGGTTAAAACTGATTGCTTTGCACAGCAGTCACAGAAAAATAGGTTAATGTTTAGGGTCGTAGACTGTCATGGCGGCTCTTCCTGTTTTAGCCTGGAAACCAGACCGCTTTGGAGACGACGTGTCACGTGACAACGCGAGCGAACGGCGGCGGCTGCTGTGCCGCAGCAGCGCTGGCGGCTCACCACTGATTCCAGCAAACGAAAGGAAACAGTGGGGATGCACGTTCTAACCTAACCTAACCTAACCTATTCTAATAACATAATTGGTAATAATTATGATAATTTATCAGAATAGGTTAGGTTAGGTTAGAACGTGCATCCCCACTGTTTCCTTTTCTTTTCTTTGCCGGAATCAGAGGTAAGCCGCCATGGCAATCCATGTGTCTGGACTTTAACCAAGAAAAAAAAGAAAAGGAGACAGTGGGGACGCACGTTCTAACCTAACCTAACCTATTCTAATAATTTAATCGGTAATAATTGTGGTAATTTATTAGAATAGGTTAGGTTAGGTTAGAACGTGCGTCCCCACTGTTTCCTTTTCTTTTTGCGGAATCAGAGATGAGCCACCACGAGTCTACGTATATGGACGTTAACCCGCGTGTCGGTTTTCCCCGTTTATCGTGGCGCAGCAGCCGCCGTTCGCTCGCGTCGTCACGTGACACGTCGTCTCCAAAGCGGTCCGGTTTCGAGGCTAAAACAGGAAGAGCCATGACAGTCTACGACCCTAAACATTAACCGAAAAATATGTGAATTGTCTTGAGACTCTGAGAGGTAAAAGACATAAACCTACATAACATCAAGTACTCCCATAAACAGTCAAGTGGGCTACTTGAAGCCGGCATAGTCACATGGGCTAAATAATTAGACACCATAGTCTTGAAAGTACTGTCATTGGGACTACCTAGATGAACTTCTACCCATTATTCTATTTTCAACGCTTGAAAACGGAAATTAATTATTGGATTTTTATGATTTAAAAATGGCAATAAAAAAATATTGTAAAGAAATTTGTTAAACTAGTTCATCATCATCATCGGAAATTGTTATAAAATATGTTCTTTGTAAATGTCTCATAAGTCCATCCACTAATTTATAAGGAAGAAGACTAATAACTTGGTGAATGCATCAATTTATATATTTTAAGTAACTCTTATTAATACTTAAAACACGCAAGTCTTCTAAATGGTGTATATAATATAATATAAATATTATTACATTAAGTAAATAAAATCAAATGTCAAACTAAATTTTATCAGTTTTTCACTTAAGAAATTAAATGTAATTCGTAAAATTCAAATAACTGATTTTTAATATCGTTTTATATCTTAAATTAGACAGAATGAGATAAATCAAGAAATCGAGGGAGAAAAAGTTATATACAAATCTTCTCAAAGCATTAACTTACTCATTCCTGACGCCATCTTGAAAATGAAAATTGATCCGAAAATAAAATTGTTATTGTTTTTTCCGTAACACGAATTTCGTATTTTAAATAAATATCATAATTATAACTGTTATTTTTATAAATAATATTTCATAAAAGTAAAAACTGATTGATAATTATTAATATTTATTAATTTATAAGTTATATTTAAATTTTTGTTAGATAAAATCTAATTGGACAATTTATATTAATAAATTAAATAAGGACCAATAGAAAGTTTTGTAAGATTTGATAACAAATTACGTAAGGTTGAGATTTGACGTGCTGTGTATTTGGTTTCCGTTTCCGGTGAATACGAAGCAGAAAATCAAATGAATATTGGTTGTTTTTATAATTATCACAATATTGCGGATGTTGGTGTTCCTAAAGGTATTAACGTGAAATTTATTTATTTATTTAAATGGATATTATTTAATGCAATCTTATATTATTTAAAATATTATTTACTTGTATCATACGTTTTTTGTTTGTTGAACGAAGCTCGTACACGACGGAATTAAATTATTTGCCAGGATAAATAGTAATTAAATCATAAGTGTGATTATTTATATATTTATGCATGTACATACAGTGTATATCTATTTTTAATTCTTTTTTCCTAATGTCTTAACACGTGGGAATTTGAAAATTACATTTTTATCTTCCGCGAGATAAAAGCACACGTGTAGACGAAATTACGTTCGCATGTCGAAAATTACAATAGAAAAACGTTGGTGTATATTTTATAAACTAATACCTACAATAATTATTCCTATATGATCATTATTAAAAGTACTTAATATATTAATATACAGGTAACCCCCGTATAACACGGTAGTTACGTTCCAAAAAATTGTCGTGTTATGCGAATCCGTGTTATACGAAACAAAGAACTAATACGAAAAGGAGGGTTAGGTTCCAAAAATTAAAAAACATGCTAGTATATTTTCATAATTAAGATAAATATCTTCATTAAAATTTTTTTAAGTGATACATATTAATATAAATTAAACAATGTTTTCTTCGTCATCACTAAAAACACTATTAATTAACCGAGAGCGTTTTCTTTTTGGCAAGTTATCCTTATCCTCTGAGCATTTTTCTGCATTATCTTCAGATCCATGCTTTACCTTTTGCAAAATGTATGTAATTTTAGATTGCTTGCTTCTAGTTAAAAGGTCTTTATAAATTTCCTTATATGGTGCTAAGCACTTATGAAGAATAAAGCAAGTATGGAATAAGGGAAAAACATTCGGCAACATCAGAAGCAGAAGCGTCGCGATCTGGCAACATTGAAACAAGTTTCGAGAAGGACCACGTGTATCGACAGAAGGCGAGAAGAGAAAATTTACATACTTAAGTACTAATAGTTCACGAAAATAATAATTTTCGTGAACTATTAGTACTTAAGTACGTAAAAATTTATTACATTTCCTGTTGTTCGAGGGTTTTACCCAGTTCTCGAACCGTGTCAGAGTGAATCCGTGCTATAAAAGTACCGTGTTATACGGGGGATGGTACCAATTCTCGAACCGTGTTAGAGCGAATCCGTGCTATAGAAGTGCCGTGTTATACGGGGGTTACCTGTATGTCTAAACCTGGGTATTCAATTCCAGAAGTATTGCATAACATTGTGTTACATTCCGATGTAAATTAATTGAAATACTGAACGAATTTTTTACAAAAATTTGCATTATCTCTTCAGTTTTGCAAAGAAAAATTATAAAGAATGATGTCAAATTTACATTAAATTGTTCATTGTCCCATCCAATTGAATAGATACGTTAGGTACAGTACAGTTAGGGCTGGCTGGAAGTTTGTGGGGCCTTGGGAATAAGTTATTAGTGAGCCCCAGAATATTTGCAAAATAGAATTTTTTTTATCAGATTTTCTCAGAAATTTGAGGGGTCTCTGCATGTGGTGCCTTGGTCTGAGGTTCAAAAAACCAACATCTGAGCTGGACATATATTCAATTCACAATAGAAAATTATTAAAGGAAAATAAAAGTAGTTTGAAACCTAAATTTTTTTACCTATAATGAATGCATTCTCATAGTTTGTCAAATATTTCTGCCCAAACTTAAGATAAAAGATAAAGGTGAAAAATATGTAGATATATCATAACATGAATAAAGAATATGCCAAAAAAAATGCATTATTATTTTACATATGAAATATAAGGATTTTAAAAACATAATCTTTGTATTTAAATTCTATCAATAAAACATAAAGCATAAAGCAATGTTTAAACTTACAAATCAAATATTTTACTGTTACTTGTTTTGAGTATAAAAACTTTAAATTAACCTTCTATATTTTAAATTAAATATATTCAATAAATTTGATATACATTTTTTATAATATTTAGCAATAGTTTTATAATGATAAAATACTAACTCAGTCTAGTGGTAATGTTAAATCGGTAATCCTGGTAGCATGGGCATAGCGAGGGGGGCCTGGGTGGGCACACCCCCAGTTAACCTGGTGCCCACCCCAGAAAATCACAGCTGAAAAAGTGTTCAGCCGATATGCAAAAAGAAATAAAAGATTGAAGCTGAAAATTCTGAATCCTAAAATTCAATTCTTATGGAATTTTCATTTTAATGATCAATAATTTGAAATAATTCAATTTTGTGTCAGGTTGGCCTCTACTAGGCCCCCAATAACAAAACTCTGGCTACACCCATGCCTGGTAGTAATGTTTCCAATTTTTACTTTAATTTTGTTCTCTTCTTAAAGATATTAATATGAAATTTTACAAATAAAACACTATCAATAGATTGGAATAAAAAAGTCAAATGTTTTTTTGATTTTTTAAAAACAAATCCAGACCAATGGCTTGTTAAATTTAGTGCTGCTGCTTTCACTGTGAAAATGCTGCAATTACTTCTGAAGATCTTTAAACAATGCACTCAGAGCAGTGCTGCAATTCCAAAATGGCAGATCTTGGTGCAACTGTTGGAATGTTTTGAGAATTATTTAATTCAAAACATTTTTTAAAGTAATTCATTTTTGCAATCCAATGCCTTGTTTGGGAGGTAAAATTAATGATTCAAATATAGGGTTTGTAACTTCTTCCTGCAACATAAAATAGATAACAAAACTTGTATATTTAAAGTGTTTTATTATTTCTGATTTTATTTTACTAATGAGTATTTTAAAAGAAAAATTAGTACAAGCAGAATATTGATTCATGATGATTAAAACCTTATAACTTTACTGTCACATCATATAAGAATTCAACTTTTCAACCATGGAAACAGCCATCTTTGCTGCAGTGAGTAAAGCAACTGAAACGAGCACTGCAGATTTAACCTTGAACCAGTCCAGACTGCTGTGAGGATCGCTGTGTGCAGTGCTTCAAGAAAATGAGTTTAACAATGCTGTTGACGGCATCACTTATCAGTGATTAGTTTAGCAACAACCTGTATATTGCAATTTCTGGAGCTGACTTTACCTATAGCTACAGTGACTATTTTTTTGGGGGGGAATAAAGGACATATCGAAGAAAATAAAAAAAATACCTTATAAAATTCATAAGTTTATAACATTTATTATGAAAATAGTAGCATACAACAATGCATACATTAAAATTTTAAACAATCTGAATTATTACACATACACACACATTGTAAAAATTTAAATAATATTAATTTTGATACTTTTCAGTAGAATTAATTTGTTTTTTAATAGTGCCAGTTCATGCTTTAAAAAGTCATAAAATTCCATACAGTTCATTTAAAAGTTGTATTTGATGGAAATACATGCTTCTAATGTGCTTGCTTTTAAATGGGTTTTTTCATTCGTCCACATATTATTCACCAATGAAAGTATTCGTTCGACAGGTGCATTAGATCCAGGGAGACAAAGAAAATTCTATGATTTTACAAATGTTTTTGAAAGCAATTTCTTTTGCTGTAAAATATTCAAAAATCTCAACCCACCTTTGATGGCAGGGCTTGTTATTCTATTGCCATTCGTCGATCTTTTCGTTTGTGACATATTTTTTACACATGAAACTTCATCAAATAATTCACCGTAGAGTATATTTACGGACCAAATTGATTCGAAATAAAAATATAGCTTTTCTCTACTTTTGCCCACAAAGGGATTTTGCGTAATGTGACCCATTCAAACACCTCTATTTCAATAAAATACATGTCCTAATTATTTAGATAATCTATGCATGTTTGATAAAATGTGTACACAGCATCATTGAATTTTTTTGGCTTGTATATTTTACTGATTTTTCTAACGTTAAAATCATTTTTTTAAGAACAATAGGAAGAAACTGCTCATTTTTTCTTTCAACTAACTTTAGCTTTAATTCCTTTAGAAGTATGGATGTTTTGCACATTGAGATTTCTTCTGATTCAACTTTTAATATATATTGGTGAAATATTGAGGCTTGGTTATGAATAAATAATAGCCATTCCTCTGCTAATGCTTCATTGAAAAATTGTGGGACGTTTTTTCCAGATTCAAAAAATATGATTTTAATGGAATAAATAGTTTTAAAATTCTGTTTAAAGCTGGTAAAAGAGTTAGCCAGCGTGTTTTACTGTAACAAAGAAGCTTTTTATATTGAACCTCTGCATCATCACAAAACTCTTTGAAATCTACTTGTATTCTGTAAATATAGAAGAGTGAATAAATTTTTACTAATATCACTTTAATATCTATTGGAAGACAATCTACAGCAGTGCTTATACAATTGTTCAATATGTGGGCAGCACAATTAACTCCTATCAATTTATGTTTACTTGATTGTTGCATTTTAAATAAAACATTATTCTTTCCTTTTCTCTGGGAACCACCAAAATTGTTGTTGGTATTGTCAGCATACAAAGCAAGTAATTTATTAGTAATTTTAAATTTTGACAGTGATTCTTTGATGCAATTTGTTAATATATCTGAAGTTTCTCCAGAAAGATTATTTATATTCAAAACTTTTACTCTGACACCACAATTGAGTAAAAAATATCTTACCAGAATTGTGCACAATTTAGTATTACCATGATTTGAACAGTCTGAATAAATAGTTATATAATTTGTTTTGCTTAAGTCAGTTTTGATTGAAAAGAATATGGTGCGAAAACATTACAAATGATTGCTTCTGTTTTTGTTCTTGCACAAGAATATTTTTCCTCGAAACATTTCTTAATTAATTTAGAAGAGCAGTCGTTTGATCGAAATGAATAGTTATGTTGTATTGAATGATTTGTTTATTTTTAACATGTTTTTGTTTATTTTTTGTTTCCATAACAACAAAATTGTTTTTAGTGGGTTACCACAACAATAACTAGAGATGAGTGAATATTACTTATTTCAAGCAGGGCTGTGGAGTCGGAGTTGGGAGGAATTTCTGGCCAGAGGAGTCGGAGTCTGGAA